TACAATTTATAATAATTTTTAATTATTTAAATGATCTAGTGATAATTTTTTCAATAAGAATAAGAAGTTTAGAGTTCAAGTAATAAACCACGTAAATAAAATGAATTAATGTGATGAGAGAGAATTTCTTTCAATTGTACAATTCAAAATCATAAAAAAAGAAACAATAATTTAATTTTAAAAATAGTATTAGTAATTGAATTTTTTGCAGTTTTATAGAACAAAAATGTCGCAAATTTACAAATAACAAATTGGTCAAACAGATGATGACAACCATTGAGTAAACAATTCTCTACTACTATACTTCCTACTTGATCTTACACTTTTAGGTTTTTTATTTTAATTTTATTTTTTTAATATTTATTATTAGAGTGTTATCGTGTCAACTTTTTGCCCATCTTTTGTCCATTTCAAGATTAATAGTTTCTCAAATGAGCTTAAAGAACACCCTCACATCAACACTAACTCTAAATTAGACTTAGAAAACAACAATTACTATCACTAGATGCAAATTTAGAGTTGGTATTCTATTTTTATAACAGTACTTATCTAAAATTTTTTCTCAATTTAGGTATATTAATTCCACAAACAAATTTTACTTTTTTATTTTAAAATAATTATAGTTTATTTAGGAACAATATTTATTAATAATATTTTAAAAAATAATAAAAGATAAAAAAATTTATGATTAAATGATTAATTAAAATAAATAAATAATAATATAATCAAAATAGAAAATTTATTTACTTAAAAAAATAAAAATAAAAATAATTAATTTAAAATAAATTTAAAACTTACAGTGATTTTGAAATAAAGGGATTAACAAATTGAACAAATTGAACAAATTGAATACTGTAAGGAGCGTGGCCGTACTCCAATGCTCATACTTGGTTTTTCGCATTTTGTGTCTCCCTTTGCATCCCTCCATAAAAGGTCAAAACAGTCAACATTTTCCCTCCCAAATCCATTTCACTGAGATGAGATCTGTCCTCCTTTGATTCCGTTTCCTCTCCGGGAGTCCCTCGGACCAGCTTCCGGTTCTCAAAATTTAGCCTTCCTTTTCCAAATGTCCTCGCAATCTCTGCCCCCGACCACCGCCTTCCTCACCCGCGTCCCCCGCTATTCCTCGATCACTCGCCGCCCATGGCGCGACTTCCTCTCCCTCTCCTCCTTCGCCCGCCCCTACTCCTTCGGCGAGGCCACCGTTTGTATAAAGCGGAATCTCAACTATTTCCGCGTCAATTACGCCATGATTCTCCTCGTTATTCTCTTCCTCAGCCTCCTCTGGCATCCCGTCTCCATGATTGTCTTCCTGGTCGTCTTCGTTGCCTGGTTCTTCCTCTACTTCTTCCGCGACGAGCCGTTGGAGGTTTTTAACTGTACGATCGACGACCGCCTTGTGCTTGGGGTTCTTTCGGTAATTACTATTGTGGCCCTGGTTTTGACGGGTGTTTGGCTGAACGTGCTGGTCTCGGTTCTGATTGGGGCTTTTTTGGTAGTATTGCACGCTGCATTTAGGGGAACGGAGGATTTGTACCAGGACGAGATGGAGGCCGGTGAGGGTGGCTTGTTTTCAGTTGTGGGGAGCCCCATCACGAGAACTGGATACAGTCGCATTTAATCAGAATCAGAAGCAAGCTTAATTGAATGCGGTTAGTGGGTTTAGATAAGCTGCATTGGTTTAACCCAGAATTGTTTCACTGCTTATAGGTTTTTTGGTTACATGATATGATGCTTTCTTTTGTTCCCTTTTAGTCTCTATTTTCATGGCTAATGTGAGTAAATCTTGTAGATTAAATAGGTTTTCATATGGTATTTGCTAAAATAGATGAATATTCCATGATTTTATGAGGGATTCAGGTGTGGTTAGTGGTTTCTGAAGCTTTATGGATTGGATTTGGATGGATTGGTTAACTTGCATTTTGATACAGAGTTTAATTTTGATAATCATGTTGGGGAAGATGATGTTGCAACTTTGTGGGTGTCCCAATTCTCAGCTTTTGAGCTTGATTATTAATGAATCTTGATTGAAACAAGAGTTGAGTGTCCTTTTTAGTGTTTTTATTATGCAATGTGCTGTAACCTCATATGAGGGGAAGTCTTTAATGTGAGATGTAAAGCAGGAATTATTGTTGTCACTGCTCCCATTAAAGGCCTAGTGTAACCTGGCATTCCACATGTGTCATGGAGCAAATGGGCTCTCTCCAAAAGGTGTCAGGAATTATTGTTGTAAGAGGGTAATTTTCATGTCACATTGGGACATTATTACATTGTAGATTTTGTTCATTCTGGTCCCTTTGAAGGCGCCACTAACAAAATGCTTTTGAATGCCATTTTGTTCTGGATCATGCTTATGTGTTTTGGTTATGGGATTAGATTTGTGATGGAACATAAGAATGTCTCTTCAGAACATAATATTAACATATTTTATATTTTTGCGTGCTTAAAAGAGCATAAT